TGTTTTTTGGTTCTTTTTGCAAAGTTTTTTGGACATTAGTCAAAATGTCCGATCTTTCTGGTAGTTTTGGCATCTATACAGTTGTACTCTGTTTATTGATTAATATACAATGGGGGCAGTTCAAACACATGCTATGGTTTTAAAAGTGCTCAACTTCCATAGTTTTGATAACTCAAGTAGGTGGTCACTTAATTTATGGTTGGCTTTCTATAAAGAACAAACTGTACTGTGGGAGTTCTTTTTTTCTTGAGTTGGTGTACTGCAGGAGTTGCTGTACGTTTGACTGGGTAAACTAATAGTCGATTCAAAAGTTAGTATACTATATATATTTAATAACTCAAACAATATTAGTAGGTTTTCACAACAGGAAAATAAAATGTGCAAACCAGTCGAACCAAACAAATTAACTTGTACGTAGAAAACGAATAATGCATTTTCCTCTACGGAGCATGCACATCTATCTATGATCGATCGATGATTTGTGCTCAACATAACATGTGTAGCTCTTTTTTATTTTTTGAAAAAGAAAACATGTGTTCATTTTTTTAGTAAAACAAATCCAGGTATAGCTGTATTGGTCGATCTATCGCCTTTGCTTCCATAGCAGCACATCTGTTTGCTGTAAATATAGATCTAGTTACTTAGTACTATTATTCATTTATCATTCGTCTGTTGGTCAACTAATTCTACTACCGTGTTTGTCAGATCGATAGGTCCATCGTTTTATCTTTCTCTCAATGCCTTGGCTTGTACAGCAATTTCTAAAAAACGGATCCCTGGGCTAAAAAGGGATTGCATTTTTCAGTAAAAGAAAAAAATGCACCTTCTAGCAAAACAAAGAGGCAAAAGTATATGAGTACTTACTGGCGTCAAGATCGGCGCTGACAAGCTCGAGCTCCATGGACCTGCCGATGAGGTCCTTCACATCGTCCATCATCTTGGACGGCCTCAGCCCATCGAGGAACCCACCGACGGTGACCTTAACTGTCGCCACCGCCTTGACGCGCACGGAAGCACCACCCTTTCCTGCCATGGTGACGGACGCCGGTCACCCACGCCGCTGCTACTAATACTAGCTACTCGGCGACGATGTGCCCCACACGATCAGCTGCCCACCGTACCGCCACGAAGCGCACGAGTGCCGTGTTACTGTGGATGTACGGCCGTCGGGAGGCTACTGCTGGACGCGGAGGAGGAGCTGGAGGAGGGGAGGATGCACGCAACGACTCCCGCGCGATGGTGTGGTGGTGGCTTAGGGGGCTGGATGGTTTGAGGTTGAGCTGTGGAAGCGACATGGTTTTATAGCAAGTAGGATATGTGTGGGCGCATAATGCTTTTGTGGGATGCGGGAAAAGGAGGAGGAAAACAAGCACAATGCCGTTCAATATATCCCGTGGGGTGGGGCCATGAACTGGTCGATCGCGTGCCTACCTACCCGGGCCTTTCAGTTCTTGACGAGTAGCAATAGTCTTCAAGACTTGAACACACGAAACGCAGCAGCCAAGTCGTCGTCTACGCTTCTACGAACAGATCTATGCGAGCTATACCTAATACCTATACAATACAACCAGAGCGACTGGATTCCATCGACAACTAGTCCTACTTAATTAACAAGCTAGCTAGGTTCCATGCATCGGTAGCTGCCGCGGCCGGCCGTATGTAGTAATATACTACACAAGGTACTACGTGGGTATGCATGTGCAAGCAAGATGTCGACACATAATAGCATCTGCCACAATTTCTATGTTAAGTTATAGGTATAGCTGTCTGGGTCACACAATGATATCTATTTGCTGCAATAATCGTCGTTGTTTGCGAGACTGACTGAAGGAAAAACTCCTCCTTGTCACTATAGTATCAATGGACATGCGTACAACATGGGCTACTATCTGGTTGACAGTATACATTGGCTATCTTTGTCAACACCATGTAAAACTCAATTGGCTGGAAAAAGGCTCACTTCACCGAAAGACAAGAATCAGGTAGAAAGGATGTCGAGAGGGCATTTGGAGTTCTTTAGGCCCCTTTTACACTTGTTTGTGAACCTGTAAAACAATGGGATCCTAAGTCCTTGTGGGAGGTGACGCATGTTGCGTGATCATGCACAATTTGATCGTCGAGGATGAGGGTGACGATGTTGCCGTAGCTTTGGAATTTGAGAACATGGGTGATCCTATCCAACATCCGGACTGGAAACTGGCCCCATTTGAAGAGTTTATTCAATTCGGCATCGACCAACTCACGAGCAGTTGAAGAAAGATCTGATTGAGCATAAGTGGGTGGTGAAAGGGGACAACAATGTTGGTATGTAATATTTGAACATTTTAAATTTGAACGAGTGTTGCATGTGGCTATCTGAATGTCTATACCCTTTGCATGCGGCTAATTTATCATGCGGACTTGAAAAAAATGAGGAAGGTCGGATGTATGCGGCTACGGTTGGATGGCGTCCTCCCGCATCCGTGTCCGCGGACCGATCCGCCCTACCAGCGGACGGACGTGGAAGGAGTTTTGCGGGTTGCTGTTGAAGATACCCTTACCTCATTGGATTCTGGCAAAAGTTGTTGTAGTAAATAGTTGAAACATCGTATTGCTAAGGCCCCACAAGGCAACTCACGAGTGAAGACTGAATAAAGGACCAACATCGATTGAATTCCATGAAAATCAACGGATACACACCTTCAGACGCCCTCCAACGACACTAGACGAACCGCCAGAACAGCGTCTAGGCAGGGAGGAACTTATTTCATCTTCACGGAGCAACCGTCGCCTCGCCTTTGTGAACAAGACACAAAGCGTAATTGACCTGAGAAAACACCTAAAAATGGAGCAAAAA